TTGATCTAGTGCAGTGTTCTCCACGAGGGGTTTCAACAGGGCGCCGCGCCCTGTTATCTGAAATTGGCGCCCTGTTTAAATTGTCAACGCCCTGTTATATTTCCTGTGCACCTGCATGGTCCCAAACAATAAATTGTTTACAAAACAGGCCAACACTCATTGTCTTCCGAAATGATTCATCGTGCTCAGGGTAACTGGTTCATTGTTTTAAGGTGCAATCCCGGCTTGTTATCGTAGCAGGTCACCGTGAGGTGTCAACACCATCGAACAAAAAGTTTTTTTAACACGATTAAAAATGAACATGTGGCCTAGAAAAGTGCTTTACCGTACCCACATTTTTACTGCCAGGGTAACATCAAATATATAAAATCGTTATCGGTAAAACCATTTATTAAATCATAAGGTCTATGGTTAAAATTAAGCTCTCGCCGTGACTTGTAACGGCAACATCATCACCGCCGAGTGGAACAAAGGCAGCTATGCACTTGCATGATCAGTAAACGACCAGCGCAGCCGACGTACCATCACAGACATTGCTGATCACCAAGATGTTTATATTTAAATGTCACTATTTAAAGTTGAATTTTCTTTCAATTGTAATTAACACTGGTAAAACGGCCATGCTTTCAACTCGCATCATAAGTGGGGGAAATAAATTTACTTGTCTTCTCCTTGGAACAAATATTCTGATTAGTTGTTTTTCGCATCAATGCGTGGCTTTAGCCAATCAAAAGCATCGTTACATAGTATCAGGGTGCACACAGTAAAATGAACTATTTCCGGGTCATAGCTGTTTTCAACGAAGCAGACATCAACGAACTTTCGATTCGAATGAAAATTATTCTTTTAAGTATGTATTTTGTTTTTTTATACCTAATTCTATTATTTTTGATAGTAACTGTTAACTGCAGATCGAAAATCTTCTATTGTGTACATTTTATTTCGTTTGATCATCTTGCTTTTTGGTGCCATTCATGCAAGTATTTTTAATGAACCAATTACGAACGTTTGTGCGACATCATACATTTTATTTTGCTTCGTCCAAATAGTTATAAATCATAAAAATTAAATAAAGCATGTATGTATCTATTTGGGAAAATAAATTAACAAACTTGTTACGTCTTTTTCTGGTCGGGATCATTACTGGTAAACAACTGATGTCGCCGCGTGATGAATTGTGCAGCTAAAATCAGCTGATTGTACGTGCTGACGTTTACTTAATAATAGCTCTTCAAAATTCTCATTTATTTTGTAATAAATATATATTATGCATGTGGAATAATACGTAGATTAATAGATTTTTTGGTTTCCATTTTTCAACATCCATGCCAATGATGCACGTTACAAATGTGTCACACCCACTTCACATTGGCGCGCCCTGTTTAATTTTCAAACCGTGGAGAACCCTGTAGTGTATCATAATTTATAAAGAAATTGTTGAGCCATTCAAATGGGATAAAGCAAGTTTTTAATATTGGTATCATATCCACTTTGGATGAGGATATCAAAATCGGATACTCCAGGTGTCTATTCTGAGACCATTATTTGTTATCATTTTTATGATTTGCTTTTGTGTTAAAAATTAATAAGTTAAATTACGCTGTGGGCCATGTCACAATAGTAGTGTGATTTAAGCTAATATTATAATATTGCATATCAGATAGACCCAATTGCATTCACACACGGGAGGAAATAGTGGTTAGCAAGGGCTAAGGAACACCCAAACTTATTAAGAATATATGATTACTCAGTACAGTATCTAGGAAGGTATGCGTGTTAGTTCTACGGTTAAAAAACAATACCAAAGAAAATTCAGAAAGTGCTGATTGCAGAATAACAGGATGTAACACATCATCAGTTAATTTTTTCTTGAGAACAATCTCTTTATGTGTGATTGCATTGATTGTCATGTCAGAAATGGTATATCAAAATGAATAGTTACAATTCTAATAGTAAATCTTTCAAATGAACATTGAATACAATGACGTTTTGGGCACTTATCCAGAGATAATTGTACATACACGCTTCCTTATCCTGTACTAAGGCTTTCGACTGGGTCTTAAAAACGGGCCAGATTTAATTCATACTTAGCATTTCTTGGTTTGAAAATTGATGAGAACTAGAGCTGGAATGAACATATCGCTGACATTTAAAGTTGGATTTGTACCTTTTCAAATTAGGTAATTTAAGCATTTTTTTTTACCAACCAGTGTTTTATATTACTAAATTTGGATTACTAGTATCGTTATTCTGTGTTGGGTCAGTGTAATAGAGAAGTTCAAATGAAGGTTGTCAGGTTCCAGGCGCCAAAGCAAACAATTATGTAATTCACTTATAAGTACTAGTAGCTCCCTCTTCATAAAAGAGTCATTACCGGTATATTTATAAAAGTCTTTGGCCAAATGTAAACACTTTATGTGGAATAATATCAGCCATGTTAGTTTCATGAAACTGTGTCATTTCAACTGATAGGTCAAGCTGTTTGTTAATAAATCTGAATGCTGAGTACTTTTTGAATAGCACAGAATGGCACAGCACAACACCGAAGTGATTTATAAGTGTTGCAGTGCAATCTTTTGACATTATTTTTGATGAAAATTTTCACAATTTGTTTAACAGAAACAGGAAATTAGAATCATATGAGAAGTGTTTAATGTTATTCATGGTTGTAACAGCTCACTATCCAACAGAGCATTCCTATCTATGCTAATCACAATTTTACATTGTATTCGTGAATATGACTACGAAAAACTGAAACTCTAATTTAGGTGGCATTCTTGTAACCAAAAGATCTCCCTACTTTCTAAAACATTGCCCTTGGGATAAGTTTTGAATTGGATCTAAATGTTGAGAATGATTCTGTTGAATACATAAATAAAAGAAAACAATTCAAAAGACAAATATGTGGTCATTGATTCTTATCTTTTTAATTAGCAGACCCAACTGAGTTGGGGGCATAACATTGTACATAAGTTATCAAATGACCTATAGCTCATTAACACTGTATTTAATGCTTTTTTTAATCATAGTTTCCATACCCAGCCCCACAGAGTAATGAACCTACTAAGACGCTGAAAAGTCTCATAAATATACGAAAAGATTCTTTTCGACTGATCAAAGAAAGTAGGTAAGTATAATGAACAGTATGGAACAATTTATTTTTCACTTATCATCAATCTGCGACCTTTACTTTATATTTAGACAAGAGGCTGTTACTAGGTGATAAATACTACTTCCTAAATAGAAGTGAGAACTCTAATTTAAAGTAGATGTGTGTACTTTGTTCAGTTGTCAGGGTGGCAAAATAAATCCAATACACTTTTGTTAGCCCAAGTGATATTGTTGGGTGTTTAATCATTAATTATCGTTTGTGCTTTCTTTTCATTTACTTAGATGCACAGCTGATGATGAAACTGAGGAAACACCCAATAATTTATATAACATGGAGTTTACTTTTGACTGTGAAGCTAAAGTGGGAATTACAATATATTACTTTGCATCTGAAGATATTGCAAATGGAAAAATATCGTAAGTTCTTTTATGGTTTTAACTGTAAATGATCTGCTGATATTTTGTTGTTTACCTTTTAATATATGTCACTTGCAGGTAGAACACATGTTTTAAATATTAATGAGGACTCTTTATATTCAAAGCATGTCCAAAGTGCACCTTGAACAATATTAATGACCCTTCTTCTAGTAATAAGTAACGTGTTGTTATGATTTTCAAATGCTTTACTTTTTCTGTTTTACAGTTATATCCCAAAGGATTCCAGTCATAAATCAGAAACTTTTTATTACAAGAGAGGTGCCAATCAGCAATTCAATCAACCGGCTTATACTATTGATCCGTCTAAATTTAATGAAAATGAGGTAAGATATTTGTCCTGTGTAGTATAGCTTTACTTAATATGAAAAATTATGGTTTTTTTTACTTTTAAAAAAGAATTTTGATTTTTCATAATTTTGTAAAGGATTTGTTTTAGCAGTAATTATCCTTGAAATTCACAACAAATCACACAAAAAACCCAACAGCAAAGTAAAGAAGTTGAGGTTGTTTCCATCTTTATTACTTTTCACATGATTTATTAGTTGAGCTGTGTTCTTTATTGTTTATTCTATTTTCTCCTTGCCTGTAATAATAAGGAAGTGGCAAGGTATAGGGGTAATACCATGTCTGCTGTTGTAGTCGTGTGGCCAGGATAAGTTATCAGTCCATGTACAATCTTAGTGAGATGTGGGTAAATATGTTATTATTTAAGAATGTCAGATGTCTGTCTGTGGAGTGGAAGCATATCAAATCTGCAGTGTAATTGGATACAATTGGATTCTGGATAACTTGGGCATATATTTATTTTAGATGAGCTTGAAAGTTCATTGAAAGATAATAAACACTAATTTTTTTAAATATTTTTGTAAGAGTGTACTTGGTTAGATCATTATTATTTGTTGTCAAGATATATATAAACGAAAGTAAAAATGCCTATTGTCTATAGAGGGCGTGATTTGATAAAAAAGGAGAAATCATGATATCATCTGTTTAGATCTTATGTGGTTATTGGTTGTCTTTTGAAATCAGTAAAGGTAATTTTCATGGTGTCTGTTATTGATTACGGTTTAGTCACAGTATATTAGACTTTATTTGAAATTTTAAAAAGAATCTGGTGTCTAGTAAGCAATGAATCGCAGTTATATGCTACAAGGAGTTGTGTGTCCAATGAGCTGTTGCCATCTTGTCAAACTTGTCAAAATGTAATTTAAATAAAAGTGCCAAAGTACAAACTCTTGAACTAGTGTACATTTGTTTGTTATGTTTTCACAAAAGGAATGTGTTTTACTGTCCTGTTTGGTGTTGGTTTTGTACATGCTTGTATTGTTTGTTGCAAATCTAAAGTGTGATAATTTTTATTTGGTCTTGCATCAGTTTAAATGGCTCTTGTGATACAGATGGACAGTTTGTATGAAAAAACAATATACAGTAATTTAAGTTCAGGATAGAAATCCGGTACAAAATAAACATTTAAAAAACATTGAGGCGTCCTGGTTTCTTTGCTTTTTAGAGCTGACAAATACAAATAAGTGAAAGGAAATATAAATGAAAATATACTGGTAGTAATGAACGGCAATAACCAAAATAAAATAAAAATGGCAGTTAAAATAAAAAAAGCAAAAACTTATTATATTGTAATAAAATCAAAGTATAATTGTGAAGACAAATTAATCACCAACAAAACATAACATTTATCACTCAAGCCTTGAAATAAACTCCTACATAGATCCAATGATTGTGAATATTGTGACAGGAAAGAGCTTGAGATGGTACTTGAAGATGTTATCTAGAAAGACACTAGAAGATGAAAAATAAGTGTGGGTTATGACTTTACTATTTCATTTATGCAACTCCAGAGGGCGCTATACACAGTCTCCTCATTGCTGCCTAAGCAAAATATCAATTATACAGTTGTAAGAATTACTATGTTTAGTTTCAACAGATGTTGATTTTACATTAACATATAAGAGACAACATGACAACAAAACCTATTTCATCTATGTATCCACATTAATCTTGGTGCATCTTTGTGGTGAAATGGCCATAGAATTTAGAAACCAACCAAACTTCTCAATAATTATTTAAAGTATTAATGAATGTTTGGAGAACATCATTTATGATATTATTCCTATGGGCCTATAGTTTTTGTTTAATTCTCTATTGATACTTAGAAGTATATGCATTAATTCAGCGAGAAATTCCTCAATTTGTTACTGCAAAAATTTTTTTTTCTTCCAAATTTTCAACCAAATTGTCAGTTGATACTATAGACCTATACAACTGACGACAATAAATGACCTTTTCTGGATGTCAAATAAATTAATCTAGGCAGTTTGAATTGGTAATGGAACCATAGAAAGTGATTCACATGATTGAGATTCAACTTGTAGTGTATTATTATCTTTGATACACAGCATTTGAATCTTTTGATTTGTTTTCTCCCATATGTGAAGTACACAAGGGGAGTCTTTGTAGTTACTGTGTCTGTATGTGCGCATTTGTCTTATCAATGTTGTGAAGTCTTGCATTTAACTTTAACTATTTTTCATAACTTATATAAAAATTTATTCAAACTCAAGTCAAGTTTGCATAGCTTAGGCTTAGTAAAATAGGAAGGTATGGTACAATTTTTTTAATGCTGAATTGTATTGTAACGGTAATTGGGTTTAATTAAACTCAAATTAAATTGCAACCTTATATAGAGTTGTGTTTCAATCCAAACTTAATGAAACTATATTAAACATTAATCCAATACATGTCGTCACAACGATGGTTTGACATGTATGTGCATGCATGTGTATGCATCTGTGTGTGCATATGTCCATCTTTTCTACTGATCTCTCACATGCATGCATATTAATTACCTAATTTACATGAAAAATAGTTAATGACTGTTCCACTGATATCTAAAGAACCACTCATTTTTGGGTAAAAATTTGTGCATATTAATTACTTAATTTGCATAATGATTAGTCACTTTTCTACTGATCATCACTTGTCTATCAGTGCCTGGGAACAATGACCTGATTAGTTTTGGAATGAAATTCGAGCATACGAATTGCCATATTTGCACAATGTGCATAATCATCACATTTCATTGAAAATTGCTGGAGTAATCCACAGATGTGATCAGTTTAATAATGAAAAACATGCATATTGATTATTATTATTATTATTACTATCTTAATGTCCAATTCCCGATATCTCAAAAAATCAGATTTAAATTGAACATTGTGGTTGAGAGGTGCTCTGGAATAAATTAGGAATTAATTTTTAATATGTCTCCAACATCTCAGCACATAGGAGTTCTTACTAAGCTTTCTTTTTATTTTTAATTTCAGTTCAACTATGATCCCACTAGAGACCTTATACCGTTAGTAATACAGTGTACTGTGTCAGAATCGGGTGATGGTAAGCCATGAATGTTATAAATCATTGTGAGACTTGTAGTCATGTACAAAATGTGTGATGATTTGATCTTATTTTCCGTGACTTACTCATAATCTTGTCGTAAAGATCCCAATGTTGTCTACTAAACATTTTCACGCTTTCCCCAGCTTCAATGAAAATTTATATGTTGCTAAAATAAAGTGGTTTACAGTATTTGGAAAATGAGGACATTGAATTTGACTTAACGAATCTTACTATCGGTGGTTGAAAGTATGAAAATTGCAAAAAATTTTAATTGTGATTGAATTTCTATTTGTTCTGAAAGCATTGCCTATACATCTCTAATTTAATTCTGAAAATGTTGTTATTTTATTGAAAATGTTTTTATTGAATGTAATAATTTTTGATTCCATCATGCAGAGTATGCTGGCCACTCGCATGTTTTACTTGCAACATTTGAGAAAACTTCAGATGGGACATACAATGTCAAACCACTTAAACAGAAACAGATGGTGGATGGGGTTTGTTATTTACTGCAAGAGATTTATGGAATAGAAAACAAAAATGCTCTGGAGAGTAACAAAGTATGTTTGTTTTTTATCACGTTTTTTACACTATATTGCAAGAAAATATTCACTGACATAGCTAGTAATACTGGTTCACAGGCTGTTACTAGAAAAGTATTCTTAAAATAGACAATGTTAGGGTAATTATAACCATTACTGGCTGTACTCCACACCACGCAGGAATGACAAAATGACTGCTTAATTTTTTTTACTGCACTTTCGGTTTAAGTAGTTAACCAGTGGAATTGAAAAAAAAAAACTATTACAAATAACTTTTCAATAAAATATTTATTTCAAATAATGGCACTGAGCATTATGTGATTATTTCTGAAAATGTCTGATTTGGGTAATTTGTCTATTTCACATGCATAATTACATCAGCTTTATTTTTAGGATGATTTTGGAATCATTTTGAATTAGTTAATAAAATAAAAAAAATAATGATTATGCCAGATTCTAGTAGCAAATTGGAATAATATATTTTCAAACGAGAAGGTTACTTGGACTGACCTTCAATGATGTAATGTTGTCAACAATTTGTAAACAAAATATTTTGTTTTGACAAGTATGACTGTTGAGAATAACATTGTGTTTTTTTTAATTTTCAGTTGTTAGAAGATGATTTTCCAGACGATAATGGTTCTGAGTGTGTCATTTGTATGTGTGATCTTAGAGATACATTAATTTTACCGTGTAGGCATTTGTGTCTTTGCAGTGGTTGTGGTGAGTGTCATCTGACTGTGTAGGTATACTACATCTCCCCCATGCCATCTGTATCAGATTATTTATTCTCTATTATTATAGTGGAACACAGAGATTTACTTTTGTTGATTATATATTGATGGCTCTCTGTCTCTTTCATAAAGTTTTTTTTCATCAAAATCAATGCCAAAAAATTACATTCTAACACTTCAGATGAACTTGTGAATGAAAAACACATGGCGAGTATCACTTCACACTGAATGTTTGCATGAAACCAAAAACCTTCACTTTACAATGAAAATAACTTGCGTTTTACTTGCATTTCATAACAAACTGATTTAGTGTATGCTATTATAATCAGAAGTAATAAATGTTTGTAACACAACAAAATGTTGTTTTCAGTGCACAAGAATTAAACAAAAATATAGTGTTGTATAGCATATTGATATACATTGCAATTGTTTACAGCGGACTCTTTGAGATACCAGTCTAGCTGCTGCCCCATATGCAGAGCACGTAAGTAATCATTCTGTTTTATTTCAATCTTCTTTCAAATGGCAGTTATATAAAATTGTGTATAAACATCACTATTATTAACGTTATCTCTGAGGTTTTGTTTTGTCACTAACTTTTTCTTTTGATATTCAAACTAGAAACACTAAGCAAATGAGCATAATGTATGCAATTTAGTTAGCATACTAAGTAATTTGATTAATGGAGAATATTTGCATACTGAGCTACATAAAATGATACTAGGTTGTTACTTGGACGTCAGTGTAATCATCTATGTGTACTGTGTATACTTTGTGGTATTCTTGTGATAACATTTAAATGTGTTATCCTGCTAGTAGTCATAGTTACTCGGTAGTGAGAAATAACATCTTGGAATGCCAGAAAATAAACATACATCTGTAACACATTTTCATGCATACATATGAAGGATAGCTAAACACTATTATTTTCACTGCCAGATGTTTCATAATGGTAATAGTCATTTTATTGGTTTTTCTTCTTGTTTTAGCTTTCAGAGCTTTACTTCAGATTCGTGCTTTGAGAAAAAAAAGCAGCAGTGTACCATCACCAGACACAGATGACAATTGGGTGAGTCTCATCTCATTTGTCATTTCCAGAAAGTTGATATTATTCTGATGTGGGCTGTGTTTTCTAATTTTTTTACAATAGTACAGTAAATTAGGAAATGCTGTCATATTTGTTCTATTTCTTATTTAGGAGGCAACATAAAAACTCCAAAATTAAAATTGTATGCCATGTTGTTTATATATCTCAGGTATCTCAAGAGAATGTTCCACCTGGTTATGAAGCAATACCATTAGGTGAAGCTTTGAATGGTCCACAAGCTTTACCACCACCAGTATTATCACTTGCCGCTGAAGGTAAGACAGTTTCACATTTGATTTTATGTTTTTCAACCATCAAAACTTAAAAACTGTCTGAAACTAATGAAAATTATGGCACAAGTTTAATAAAAAGTCTGATATTACAGACTCACAAATGGTATCCTGTATCTGTTTCCCAGCTTTTAAAAGACAAAACACAGAAATTGTAA